TTATACCTTCTGGATTCCTAAGGGGGTTATGTAGGGATCATAGCTGGTTCTATAGGCAAAAGAAGAAATGCAAATCCTAGCTGATTGCCTGAGGTAATTTTGTTGGCCTTTTGTTTGTCGCTTTTCTGAGTTTTTGTCTTGACCCAGTCTTTCTGAATGGATTACCAAATCTGCATTTCTAAAAGCTGGCCTCCTCAGGTTCTGCTTTGAGGCAAGGAAACTGGGTCTACTTTCTACCTCCCTTAAGATTTTTTTTAATTTCTCCTTTAGGGGAAATATTTTATCTTGACTTTTTAATATTTCCCCAAATATTTCATTCTTCTGTGGTGGTGGGAGGCTTCCCCCAAACCCCCCTTTTTGCCATAATAAATGTGGGTGACACACATACAGTTTTACTGGCAAAAGATTAAGAATTGATCAAACTGTTAATAGAAATTGATTGAGGTAGCAGAAAAGTATCCTTTCAGTGGCTCCCAAGAGCTTTTATCCCATGAAGGTCTAGCACCCAGGGGAAAAGTTCTGGAAATAAATTTACAATATCCATTTTTAATGCCAATTATTTTCAGGTGTTTAATGTCACTTTCTGTGAGTTTCCAGTCAGGTTTGAGGAAAGCACATTCCCCAGAATTCTTTACAGCTTGGTTTTGCTTTAGTAAATAACTACTGGCTGCCCATTTCCAAGGGTTGCTTCCTGAATCTGCTTTAGCTCTTAGTTTAGTGCATCATGAAGCCAAATTGAGGTTAGCCATTGTGCAATCCAGGGTATTAACATTTTTAAATTGTACACAATGAGCCCTGAGACCCCTACTAATGAGACCACCAGTGCAAAATATTCTGCCTTACTGGGCAACTGGGCAGCATCATTTGTGAGTCACAATCAGGGCTGGGGTTTGGAGATCTCTTTTCTACTACCTTTTCAGTTAGGACATGTTAATTGCCTGAGGGGCCTGCTTCCTCCCCCATGGAATTGGCAGAGCTAGGACTGCTTGGGCCTTAGTGCCACAGAGAAAGAACCAGCCTGGGAGAAGCTTTATGTGGAGGTAGGTGAAGGGGATAGCCTCAGTCTGATTCTGAATGGTGTGTTTGTGTGACTTCTATAAGACAGGCAAAACAAACATTGCAGACAAATTTCCCTCCTACCAGACAGAAGCCCATGGTGTTCAAGACTTACTGTGCCAACCACTCCAAATGCCTTCCCTCCAAGAATCCACTTAACTGATTGTGACATAAATGAGGCAAGAAAGAAAACCTTACAATGAATGTCCACCCTCCCCCCCATAGTCTTTCCATCTGTCTTCTGTGGATTGAAAAGAGTCTTTAGTCTTCACTGGTCCATCTCAGGGTCGTCTCTTTCAAGTCTGCTGAGTGAGTTGGCTTGGTGGTAAGGCTGGTTACTCAGGCTAGGAAAAGTCTGCTCTATTCTGGTTGCTGTGATGAACTTTTTGGTAGATGACTGGATCCAAACCCAATTCCCTGGTTCAATTGAATGGAAGATCTCCTCTGGGGGTAGCATCTGGATCAGTGTGCTCTGTTTCCAAAGGTTGCAAAGTTGTCTGTATAGGTCTGAAAGATACGAGAACAGGGTCTCCTTCCCTCCTTTGTGGGTGACACTTCCAGGAAAGGCATTGTTGGTGGATATGAGATGGAGATATGATGGGTATATAGTTTGCAAGGTTTGAAAAGACATTAAGGTTAACATTTCAGAAGTTAAATAGACAGATAAAACCACTTAAACACATACAGTAAATTCAAGAATGAAACTTTTCCTTTAAATGAACTTAAAACATTCCCTCGTAACCTTGGGCTGTTCTTAAAGGTACAGAGTGGAAAGGGGAAAATATGAACACAGTTCTCTTCACCCTGTTTTGCTGACCAGGCAAACTAGAGTAGAGATATTTTCTTTTTCATTGCTTAAATGAATACTGTTTTTAAAAAAATCAGTATTGTTTTTTTTTAAATTAGAGACATTTAAGAGGTAGAGGACACACAAAGACACACAAAGACTTTGACACATATACATACAAAGACAAGGGAAAGAGAAAAGAAGAGGAAAACAGAACTCTCAGGTTTACACCCTAGTCATTTCCACCATAAATCTCAGTTAACTCAAATTAAGGAAGGCATAAATCTTAAACATATTACATGGTTGCATAGAAGAGAGAAAGGAAGAAAAAAAATCAATGTTCCTGTTTATATTTTCCCTCTCCCTTTTCTTAACCTTTATTTAGTTAAACTGGTTTTCAGCTTTGTCCCTGAGCAAAGCCCACTCTTTGTCCCACTTTTTACATAACTTCCTTGCTCACATCTTCTTACTAGCCAGGACAGGCAGTTGCCTCTTGCCCCACACCCATGAGCAAATCTGTTAGGGTGGTTCCTGTCATGATCCTCGAGCTACATCTTCCCATGTTCCCCTTCCTATGTGGAGCTCAACTGGCTTATTCTGGTCTCCGCTGTCAGTTTTCGGAGGAAAAAAAGTTCAGGGGCACTCTGGTTCTTTCGGGCACCTCTTTTCCAGCAGGACCTGTTTTGCAGCGAACACCGCTGGCGGTTTTTGGACCAAAAAGGGGTCTGGGAGGACCTGTGGCCCCCTACGCACTCAAGTATGGGGACTTCCTAATACCACCGTTAGTTTTCAGACCCTCCGGGATCTGGGAGGACCTGCTGCTTTTCCTTAGCAGTCAAGTATGGGCATCTCCTAACACAGGGCTTGTTCAGTGACTTCTCAGCCAGTTACCCAACTTTCTCATTCACATTTCCATTCCATTTTCATACAGCCTCTCCCTTTTCTAATAGAAGGTCCCACCTCTGACCAATCCCCCATATTTTCAGGCTCTGTTGGTAGAACAGATCTTTCTGTGGTTAGGAAAGCAGGATCCATCTGTGATTGGGAGAAGGGTCCTCTCACTCAAACACATAGGCATTCAAATATTTCTCCTCCTTTTCTGGGCTTTAAAAGTTAAAATTTAGAGGTACTCACCTTTTTTTCAAGCAGCCTTTATGCTCAAAACTCCCTTTACCATCCTTGCTCCAAATGGCCTAGGTCTGGGGAACCCACCCAGAGACACAATGGGTCTGCTGCCAGCAAGGTGGCTTACCCGGGCCAGGACCATTGATTAGGTTAGCTTGGAGTCCCACCTTGGGGGGCCAAATTGTGGAAAGAAAAAAATCCATCTGGTTCAGTTTCAAGCTGGGAGAAAGAAGCTGGAAACAACATGGAGGCTGATTGGGAAAAAAGTTCCATGATGAAGCAGAACCACTAGGGTGTGGTTCTGGTGCAGCTGACAAAGAGAAGTTTAGAGTGGGTGGTTTTTATACCTTTTGGATTCCTTTGGCGGTCCTGTAGAGGTTATATAGGTTTCATAGCTGACTCTATAGGCAAAAGAGGGAATGCAAATCCTAGGTTATTGTCTGAGCTAATTTTGTCAACCTTTTGTTCATTGCTTATCTGAGTTTCTGTCTTGACTCAGTCTTTGTGACGACTCAGAGTGTAACACAAACGTAATAAAATCCAAAACATAAATAAATGTCCTTTATTGCCTCCAACTTGGCCCTACTGTTCAATAATACTCAGTTGGAGATAAAATGTACTCAAAAATAGTCTTCAAAAGAAAGCAATACAGTCCGAATTTAATGAGCAGGTAGAGGTAGAAAAAAACCCAAACAAACTATAATGAGGAAATGTCCACAATGGAACAGGAGAAGTATTTAACAAATTCAAGGAGATAACAAAGCAATCTGTTGGAAGGACGCCAACCAAGATAACTTCAGACCAAAATAAAACACGCTTGCTTCTGGCAACCTGTGTTCTAACTGTCTCTCTTATATACTCGTCTCCCCAGCTGTAACCAATGAGGATCATTGCTGCTTCCTCTCTCACAAGCCTAGTTGTTGCCTTCTCCTTTCCTCCCTACGTGTCCTAGGATGCAGAGGGGATGGGCCTGGTTCTTCCTCTGACTGCCCAGCCGACCTCAGCCCTTCTCCAGCCTTCTCCACAACCTCTGGAGCTACACCTCCACTCCCTGTCGGCTGTTCCTCCTCTCCCTCAGAGTCCGACTCTACCAAGGGCATGACAGTCTTTCTGAATGGATTACCAAATCTGCATTTCTAAAAGCTAGCTTCCTCAGGTTCTGTTTGGAACAGGGAAACTGGGTCTGGTTTCTGCCTCCCTTAAGATTTTTTATTTTATTTCTCCTTTAGAGGAAATATTTTATCTTGTCTTTTTAATATTTCCCAAAATATTTCATTTTTCTGGGGTGCCAGGAGGCTTCCTACAATATACTAAGCTTCATCTTTATGTATATCACTGTGGTCAGTCATATGCAAATATTTTGTTTTACTGGGATAATATAAAAACTATTGAAGAAGTTACAGGAACTGGGCATGGCTAGTCTAGTGAAGAGAAAGACTAGGAGAAACATGATAGCAGTGTTCCAATATTTGAGGGGCTGTCACAGAGAGGAAGAGGTCAAGCTATTTTCTAAAGCGCTTGTAGGCCAGACAAGGAATAATGGATGGAAACTGAAGAAGGAGAGATTTAACCTGGAAATAAGGAGAAACTTTCTGACAGTGAGAATAATCAACCAGTGGAGCAGCTTGCCTTCGGAAGTTATAGGAGTTTCATCACTTGAGAGTTTCAAGAAGAGGTTGGAGTGCCATTTGTCAGAAATGGTGTAGAGTCTCCTGCTTGGGTGGGGGGTTGGACTAGATGGTCTACAAGGTCCCAACTTTGTTAATCTGTCAAAGTGAAGTATTCAAAAATTTGTACTATTAAGTTAGAACTCTTGGAATTACTGGGAACATAAGGTAATGTTTAAAATACCATATTGAATACAATATTGGGTTAAATGGAGTATACTCCATTGAATTTAACATGATTTATACCTGTATAGGAATAACTCATGCAAAATTGATTATTTGAAAAAAATAAGGTTGTCTTTTTGGTATATTAGATTTAAATTTCTTTTTGTATAGGAGATAAAATATTACCTGTTTTATTTCAGTTTTATGTGCTGAACGAGTGGGCCAGATGACTAAAACATACAATGACATTGATGCTGTTACACGTCTTCTTGAGGAAGTAAGTACCCCATGTTCATATGTATGATAACATGGTTGTAACACAGTAATCAATGCTGGAATCTTCTTCATGAGGTACAGGATATTGTATCATGTCTGAGGCCTTACAGAGGGGTTACTGAAAATTGCCCAATTGCTCAATTCCCAGCTTGCTATTTCTTTTATTTATTCAATTCTATTTCAGTTCAATATCATTTGTTGCTCTGATGATGTTTATAAGGCTTAAAATTAATAGGACTCTTGATTACAGGATTTCCTTAAAACAGTCCTATAAATATTGCACAGCTATAAGGAACTATTGCTAGAATTCAGAAAGTTTAATTAGAAGATGCAAAGCCATTGTATCTGTACATGAATTTTATTCATATCTGTTTCTTATTTTGAAAAAGCTGTCATAAGATTAAAAATACGTTTTGGTTTTTCTGAGCATTGTATGATTTAGGCTTGGAGCCCTAAGATTTAATTGTTCCTTGATAGAGCTCAAAGTAGGAAACTATAAACCAATCTAAATCATAGTTATCAGGTTTCAAGTAGAATTTTTGCCAAGATGATCAGCTGCCCTTTTTTCCCACTATGATAAAGGTCCAGCTGGCACCTTTTATTTCCACTGAGAAAATCAATATTATGTTTGTTATACTGAAACTAATACTTTGTTGTGCTCAAATGCATTATTGAAAGAATGTTGCCCTAACTCAATTAAGTATTAGTTGTTGGCTCCCAGGCCATCAATATCCCTTGAAAGTGAGAGGACCACATCTATTATTGCAACTTGTAGATTATAAGAAAGCAAATTATATTAAAGCAAGATAAAGTTTCTTTCAACTTACATAAAGCCTCTTTCAATTTACATAAAATTGCCTGCTATCATCTGCTGATGGATATACCCATCTATTTTTTTTCTATTTGAACTTTGCCGGCACCATCTTCTGAGATGTTTTTTTTTTTCAATTCCTAGTTAGCCTACAGGTCCTAGTATTCCCTATAAATTTCCCACTAAGTATTGAAAAGGTAAAGGTTTATTCTATCCAGTTGTTTTTGATTCTGGGGTAATGCTCATCTCCGTTTCTTAGCTGAGGGGCCCAATGTTGTCTAAAGACATTTCTGTGGTCATGCGGCCAACATGACTCTATACTGAAATGGATCGAACGCTGTTACCTTCCCACTGAAATGGTACCTATTTATCTACTTGGCATTTGCATGCTTTTGAACTGCTTAAGTGGGCAGAACTAGGGCAAGCCAGCTTCACTTTTAAGACCAATTCTGAGCAGTCAAATGCTATAGTAAATATATAAATTTACTTTAAATTAATTTTTATTATATGCAAATTAAATCACATTTAGTTCTGTCCCTGTTCATTTTTTTGCCCTAATCTTTTCTAGTTTTTGGAGTATAGATTCCAGCATACCATTCAAAGCCCAAGGGCATCACACTGATAAAATTATGTTGCCAGTGGTTTTCTGCTAAGTTTATTCAGAGACCCAAAATTTGATCTCTTAACTTTAAAAAAAAATTCAAGCATGTTTGAATTATTGAGAATATCCCCTGAATGAAAAGAACAACTTCTCATGTTGCTATGTCAGAAGCGTTAGTATATGTGTTTGCCTAACCATCTAGAAGTTCATTTATTAGAATCTTTTCCAGAAATATTTGGTTCCTATAGATATCATTAAAAATAACTGCCTTAAATATATTTATTTATTTGTATCATGCCTTTATTATTTTTTATATATTTATTATTTATTATTTTTATTTATAACTCAGGGTGGTGAACATATCCAACATACTTTCTTCCAAACAAAATCTGTTTTTGACTGTGATGGCCTCTTGCAATCCTCTGCCAGCAAAAATGGAGCTCCAGAGCACGTCACCCTCCCAAGCTTAGTTTTCACTGGCAGAGGCACTGTGGGCTGGTCCTTTGCTGTTTCCAGGGCAGCCCCACGGACCAGATTTAAGCACCCCTTCTCTAAAGTTACTGAAACATTTGATATTCCTCCACAGTTCTTCCAATTCACTAACTTTCCTTGTAACTCTTGATGTAAGACATATTGTGGCATATGGCTTTTGCTATTGCTTGAACATAGCCATTGCACCACCTGCACTACAAACAAAATGTCTTACAGGATTGTAAGAACTTAATTTCTGTTGTTCAACCTTAGTTCACTTTGAGATATTACTTTGCCTGTTGTTGTAGGCATTGAATACAAAGTGTAGGTTTTACACTTTGAACCACTAACTAAAACAATATTTAAAAGTTTTATTTTTTTGTAAGGGGCCATAAAATTATCAATTTTGTTAAACCCTCTATAAATACAGTGGTATTTAAGAATTTGTGAACCTGTTTATATTCTACATCCATTTGTCATTTAGAAATCTGGAGTTTGGGTCATTTTTCTCAATAAATAAATGAATGAATGAATATAATATTTTTGAGTCATTTGTATAATTGGGTTCTCTTTATGTAATTTTGGAAGTGTATATAAAACATCATGGTTTAGAGCATATTTATTGAGAAATATTCAAAAGGATTCATAATCATAAGCACCTCTACACTTTACTAATTATATATCAAATATAATTTTACAACTTCTGGCTTTAGAAATAAAAGCTCTTGAAAGGATTTTTATTCCTGGTCATGCATGAACTTACAGCATTCAGTTACATTTATCGTGTAAATTATGTTCCTCAAATTAAGAGGATGTCTCCAGAAGAACACAACATTTAAAAAAGAAATTATAGGCTTCTTTCAAAAATAGGCAAACAAAGCAGTTTTTCTAGTTTTTCTCTAGAACACAGATTCAACCTTCTTGTACTTTCCAATGATGGTCATTTCCTATGTGAGCCATAATTCAGCCTTCCTTCCTTCCTTCCTTCCTTCCTTCCTTCCTTCCTTCCTTCCT